CCTTGGGCTGGTTCGCCGTTCACCTGTTTTAGGAGATAAAGGAATCTATTAGGACAGGTGACTTGGCATGAATGAAGGATATGCATGCTGATGGAATCAGATTAGAAAAAACAGGGGTGTTGGTTTGCTATGCTATTGCACTAAAATAGAATATGTACACTGGTGTGATAACAGGAAAAAATTCATATTGATAATATCAACAAAACTTACAAGGAAATTGGTCGGGGAGATGTCAAACACGAGTCCTTCCATGTGCCAGATAATGCGGACTTCCCATTGGCCGGTGTAGCGAACGAGGATGGCGCCTCGCTGCAGGTGGCTCACGTCGAAGGACATGGCGTTCCAGCATTCGCTGGGCTCGTAGGCGAACTCCTTAGCATCGAAGGTCCTAACCTGCAATTCATAAGAATTAAATACAAAGGAAGAGAAAAGTGCTAAGAAAAGGCAGCATGCACCCACGCCCGCAAACATACACCATACACACAAGGGTGTCACTAAGCCTTTACTGGAGGGTCCAGACTAGATTTGTAAAAGGTACTCAAAATGCCTTTTCATCATGATCTGTTTAGAGTAACAGCCAATGCAAAATCTGCGGAAACATGGTCAAGGTCGGCTTATATTAGTTTGCCTGTCTCGCAGACTGGGTAAGACAGATTAACTGATACATTGAAATTGGGCCTTTGTTCTGAAACCTTTACTTAATACAACTTTCACTGAGCTGGTAGTTTATTTTGATTTTCACTACATGCCTGTTCTTAATCTTACATGCCCGTCCTCTTTGCCTTCCTCTCGAGGATTCATCTCCCCCTCCCCCCATGACCCCTTCCCTCTCTCCCTTCATTTCACTCGTCCTGAGTTATCCTCTCTCTCCTCACTTATTTCGTGAGGAACAGTGCACTTGATATCGATAAATTGTTACAAGTACGGTAGTTGAAAGATTACTCGTTTTACCCTCAAACTAATGTTTCACAAACTTCAGCATCTTATATTCATTCATTAAATCGAATATAAAATCCTAATGTAAATAAAAGTAGAACTTCGAGAGTAAGATTTCTGACCATGACTGAATATGTTACCAAAAATAATATGAGACATGTGCTTATTGTTTGGTTTTGTTTGCTGTAAGTTTATTGCTAAAAATATCAGAGAAAAGTTGGGTAAAACTAAATCATAATGGCTTCCTAATTTCTAAATGATATCAATAGAAGCACGATACCAAACAGATATTGGTACACTTTTTTCTTTTACAAAAGGCACCGAATAAAAATCACGACACTGTACCTTGGTTTCTTCAATGGTGCAGGACACTGGCGTGCGACCGACGGCGAAGTCATAGAGCAGGGTGGTTGCCAAGGGCCCAGGTGTAAAGATCGGGTTGGCCCATGCTGGGATTTCCAGTTCCTTGATGATGGACACGGCATAGGGCTTCTCTGTCCTCACGGTCCACAGGCCGGTCTCAATGCACCTGGAGATGCAGAGAACACGTCAGTTGAGGTTTGAGGGAGCGTTTGCCAAGGCCTGTGCTTACTCCATTTTGCCAAGGATGCTAATGAGGACATCATCCATGAATAATCATACAGCATAGACAGAGTCTGCATTCAAGTGACTTACTTTGTAGCATCAACTTCAACTCTGGCGTCATAATGTGCGGTGGTGTGGTCGAATTCGATCTTCTGGGATAGGGAAGCCTTGATGATGTCATCAACATAGTATGTAAGGTTCTTCAGGCTGTCTGGGAAGTCCTGGAACCAGAAAGATGTTCTGTGAGTTGCAATAACATGGCCAATGCAGGAGGATGTTTAAGCACCAGAGATAGGAGCGACAAGTGGAAGAGACTGTATCTGATGACTTCCAAAGGGCTATGGAACAGGGGCTTCCTTACCGGTGTCCAGGTGGCAGTGATATGAGAGTGGTCGTACAGAGGAGAAGTGATGATATCAATGCCAGGAGCGTAGGTACTGTAGTCGCAGCCCTTCTCTATTGCTTCCTTTACTTTCTCCTTGGCGTCGTTGCTGACATCGAATGAAGCCTGAAAGGAGAAACCAGAAATGTAATGCCACAATGTCCAATCAAACAAAACGTTTATAATACTCATTTGGACGAGTTCTCTTCTCTCCGTCTTACCTCCAGGAGCAAGACCGGCGCTTCCTCACACGTCTCACCCTCGTACAATTCGGCCTTGATTGTGGAATGGTAGTTGGCCGTCAGCACATCCTCAGTGGTGAAGAACGGATTGAAATGCGGCTTCATGATCTGGGCGTTCAGGCAGATCTAGGAGAAGCAGGAGGGGGGTCACAAATCTGACTTTCTGTTGCATATCTCCATACAGAAATAAAACAAATTGACTCGGTAGAAAATATGCTCAGTGTCAAGAAGACTTTAAGTACCACGCACAGTGTATGGGTCCTCCAGGACGCCGACGGCTGGATGCTTCATGAGTGTCACTTGCACCTTGGAGGATCTCGCTGAAGCGGAGCTGGAGATGGCCCAGGTGAGGCTC